TATCTCATGGCACAATTGAACGTATAATTAACTTTCATGTGATTTAAATTTGTGTTAGTAAACATTCTATCGCCACATTATTTAACCTAATTCTTTTTGTTTATATTTTTTGTAAATTAAATAAAATAGTATTGCTGTTTCTTAACAATATGTATCCCTGAATAAATTTAAAATTTATTTTAAATTCACTGTCCTACATAATATGCCCAGATTGGGTTAAACGACTGGTAAAGTTAGTGTTAAATAACAATTTTTTTGAATTCCAAGGTAAATATTACCGACAATTACAAGGTATACCAATGAGATTCTGCATACGACCTAATTGTGCAATTCTAATGTATTATTTATATTATGTAAACAATGCACTGTATATATACAGGAAATGTTTTAATCTTATATCTATAAAAAGTTAATACTGTAAGATTACGAGATGGAATTATGAATAAAATAAACCAAGGGGACAAAATTTTATATTTTCCCATTGAGAGAAATGCTATTATCAGTAGTAATTAAACATTCTGTAATATGCATAAAGTGTATAGCCTAAAAAACATTACTGTTTGCCTTAATTATAAATTCATTATTCACATGACATAAGCAATCATCATCATATTGTCTGGATAATATTATTTTGGAAAGGATAGTTTAGAGAAAACACAGGGTTCAACACTAAAACCTCCCCTCGCTCAGCCAATTATAGGTTGAGGGGACATAATGTTTGCTAGGGAGAATTACTCCACATTTTTTTTTTTTTTTCTTAATCATCGCAACTTTAACAAAAAATCATAGAAACTATTTTCATAAAATCTTTTTATGAAATATTTAATTTTAAAGTATTCATATTTAACAAAGTATTCACGAATATGAATTTGAAAGAAGCACAAAAATTGAGTATGATGGTATATTAATATCAAAAGTAACCAACCATAGAAATAGTACATTATTTGAAGGAGCTTCAGTACGTTTTGAAATTTCATTGTGGCAACGTGCCTACTACTTTAATTTAATCGAATTAATTAACCTAATATATAGGGTTGTAATAAATTGGAGGGTTTATCATATCAGTGGCTGACTGAAATAAATAGATTAGATTTTACTAAAAATAGCGTTTAATTAACCTCAATAAAATTTCAGTAGGAATGCATCTCGGGTATAAAAACCGCTCACCAGCCTACACGTGGGCCAAGGTCCTAGAATATAAGGTTATCTCATGCCGAAGTCCTAGAATATATTCTAGGCCCTTGCACACATGAGCAGCGTTTCCAGATGTTTTCAGGTTTTTGTCACCATCAAAAAATTCCTTTTTTATAATCTGAGATTTGACAAAAAAGTAAAATAGAAAACATCATTCGTACTTTTTCAGTAATAACTTCAATCACAGAACAGCATTTTCTGCCAATTTACAAGCCTGAAGCAGGTCTGTAAGCTGCTCCAAAAATAAGGATCGCAAGACTCAAAATTCAAGCATAAACTGTAATTTACTAATATGTCGAAAGCACTCATTTTATATGAGAAATAGTGCGAATTATTCAATAAATAATCTTGCCATAACATACATTTTTTTGCTCTTTCTGCCATGCGGGGACTAAGAGAGCCTCTTTTAACAAGCCCATAAAATGTTCGACCAAGCCCACAATGGGACAGCTGGGTGATGATAGACGACAGTTGACTTAATAGTTATTAATTTGCTATTTCAAAAGGATTTATCAAATTACAATTTTTTAATTTGAAAGTTGAGTAATAGATTTCTTTATTAAACCAATACGTACTGTACAGTAGTAATAATATTACTGTTATTATTAATAGATAAAGTATGCCTACATCCCACAGTACAGAAAGTAGACTAGAGATACAAGTTAAAATATTAAAAACAGATATTAACACCTCTATTAAAACATAAAAACAAAAAACCCAACTGATGAAGGGTATTGATGAACCCAAAATGTACATATTAGTATAATAATTTGATATTAAAGAACTGCGGTTTAATAACTCCTTTGTAATAGGAAAATTAATATTATTTTTTTCTACTTTATTATTTAAGGATTAACATGTCAAATTATAGTAATATACATTAAAATTATTACGAAAAACGATATTTTAAAAAAGTACTTCTGCAGACACTTTCAATTTTTACTTAGAAGTAGATAAATAAAGGAGACGAACAAAAATTTATTTGAAAAAAAAAAAAATATTGTTTCATTTGGGACTATACTTAATAAAAAAACGACGAAACACCATTTTAACGTGCATTTTTATTCAAATAATATACTGTATTTATAAATAAATATGTAGTCAAAAATGTAGCCAAGCCAAATTTATGTAGCCCAAAAAGCAGCCAATGCGTCAAATAATATTTTTACGCCAAACTAAAAAACGGGTAGCCAAATCTGGCAACTCTGCACACAAGTCTGGCTGCTTGGTAAGTGTTAGTTCTAAATTATGCCGCTAAGGCGAACAGCGCCAATCGCGGCAAATGTGTTTGTCTTTGTGTCAGAGTTTCTTTAACGGTTGGAAAATGGAATGTGCAATTTGAAGTATAAACGTAAGAAAAGTTTAAACAGACATATTAAAGAGAAGCATAAAAAGAAGGACTGTAACAGGAATGATGAGGATATAAAATTATTTAAATGTAGTTTGTGTTATTTGATTTTATTTATTATAAAAATTACATCTAGAGATTTGGTTCTATCTATCTTTATAGGATGGAAGAATGTTAAATATGTTACTATTTAATGTTTAAAACTACTGCATATAAGGAATTATACTGCAATTATGTAGTACATTGTAATTAATTTGTTTAGAAAATAAACGTTTAGAAATTGCATAAATTCTACCAAACTGCCAAAACTGCCAAAATTTATGTTCTTATACGTTTTTAGCTTTTATGTTAAGCTTTTTTCAAGATTTAAAGTAGTTCTAAAATAGTTAGCGACCAGACATACTGATTTTAGAATTTGTGTTCCGATTTCAAATATGTACTGAATTTTAAATATAGCATTAAAAGTTGATTTTTTAAAAAATATTATAGGTGTTAATAATAGGAGNAGAAGTAGATAAATAAAGGAGACGAACAAAAATTTATTTGAAAAAAAAAAAATATTGTTTCATTTGGGACTATACTTAATAAAAAAACGACGAAACACCATTTTAACGTGCATTTTTATTCAAATAATATACTGTATTTATAAATAAATATGTAGTCAAAAATGTAGCCAAGCCAAATTTATGTAGCCCAAAAAGCAGCCAATGCGTCAAATAATATTTTTACGCCAAACTAAAAAACGGGTAGCCAAATCTGGCAACTCTGCACACAAGTCTGGCTGCTTGGTAAGTGTTAGTTCTAAATTATGCCGCTAAGGCGAACAGCGCCAATCGCGGCAACTGTGTTTGTCTTTGTGTCAGAGTTTCTTTAACGGTTGGAAAATGGAATGTGCAATTTGAAGTATAAACGTAAGAAAAGTTTAAACAGACATATTAAAGAGAAGCATAAAAAGAAGGACTGTAACAGGAATGATGAGGATATAAAATTATTTAAATGTAGTTTGTGTTATTTGATTTTATTTATTATAAAAATTACATCTAGAGATTTGGTTCTATCTATCTTTATAGGATGGAAGAATGTTAAATATGTTACTATTTAATGTTTAAAACTACTGCATATAAGGAATTATACTGCAATTATGTAGTACATTGTAATTAATTTGTTTAGAAAATAAACGTTTAGAAATTGCATAAATTCTACCAAACTGCCAAAACTGCCAAAATTTATGTTCTTATACGTTTTTAGCTTTTATGTTAAGCTTTTTTCAAGATTTAAAGTAGTTCTAAAATAGTTAGCGACCAGACATACTGATTTTAGAATTTGTGTTCCGATTTCAAATATGTACTGAATTTTAAATATAGCATTAAAAGTTGATTTTTTAAAAAATATTATAGTGAAGGATAAAAAGAAAATTATAAATTAAATATGAGCGGACAGATTCAAATTTAAAAAAGTTATTTCTTTTACCAATATTACTAAAATTGAAGTTCATAATTAAGAATTAAATTATAGCGGTAGAAAATAATATAAAAGTATTTATATTATTTATGCTTGTACAATTTCAAAACTACAGTCGATCCCCCTATAACACTGTTGATAATTCCGTTTTATATGAATTCCATGTTGTACGAGTCACTTAGATTTTACAAATACGTGAGCCATTCACAGCCCGGCACACGTATTTGTAAAATATAAGTGACTCGTACAACATGAAATTCATATAAAACGGAAAAATCAACAGTGTTATAGGGGGTCGACTGTATTTTGTGTAATAATTCGACTCTGACTTAACGGATATTTTGATATTATTGATGACAAAAGTTTAAATCGTTGATTTCCTTATCTGTCCATTATTTTTGTTTGACAGAGTTGAATTGTTTGGACCACATGGCGTGAAAAATTTTGTCAAGGTTCTCGTGAGAATGTGTAGACGACTGAAACGTGTGAAAGAGGACCACTGAGTCATAACATTTGCACGTGCTATGTTGTTGATGTCGACCGACGTACTGTACAGTACACCATATGTATGTTTGATTGGGTAAATCAAATTAGCAAGCAGTGACACTAGTGAGATTTTATTAAACTAATTTTTTCGCATTTTTTCATTAAGGAATGAAATATTATTTTGTACCATAAATGGTACTGAAATATTATAATGTACTCAAAATGTACTAAATTCTAAGTGTACTTTCAATGAACTTGAAAAGGCAAAATGTACCCGAAAAGTACAAACATACTAGGAATGGCAACACTGGTTGTAGGCTAGAAGCGTTATAATGAATCAAACTTTTTATATCCTTTCATATTTTATACAGTATTTATTTTAATTATAGTAATATAAAACTATTATTTTATATGACCCAAAGAATGATACACAACTCTTCAAAGACTTTTAATCTAATTTATAATTTAAAAAAATATAATAAACTGTTTTTTTTTATCACCAGACGGTGTTATTCATGCTCTCGTGTGATTGGTAATTCGGTTGTTTTTAAATTTGAATTTTAGATTTCAAAAAAGTTCTAATAAATAAATAATTTCTGTATTGAATGTATAACAGAAGCCTATCAATTAATGTAACTACCTAAATTTTGATTGTTTTCTTCACTTTTTAAATTTATTTTTGAATTTTCTTAATTTAAAGCAGATGAATTTTTTTTATTACAAAAAAATTTGTATATTAGTCAACAAATTTCTCTATATTTTGTACACATACATATTTTGCAGTACCCAAATATGGAGCCTTAAGATGAAAATGCTAAAACATTAATTAACTAATTGAGGGGGCTCTTCTAACAGCAGAGTCTATGCAAATGCAAAGGTCTTACTCCCATAAAGTGAATTTTGTGTGTAATTCATTTTTAATTAGTTTATGTGATCATTGAATAATTACATTTTGAACTAAAGTTATAAAAACAATAAAAATTGATGGGGAAAAAAATATTACAAAATGGAAACTTGTTTTCTTAATTTAGAAGTTTCTTGAAACTTCTTTTAGTAAATTTTAAATATCCACTATGAAATGAATACTGACTTCAATATCTTTTGAAACTTTTTATTCAATGTAATATGTAAGCATTTTGAGTTTTTAACAAAAATTCAATATCTCCTCCTCGGCTATAGTCAAATAAACAATATTAATTTAGAATGACGAAACAATCAATAAAGTAATAAGGACATTTACAATAATTCTTTGTTTAAAACATCTTCCTTATAAACTATAGTCAAAATAAACATTGGAAAAAACAATAAAATAGTATTTCAAATTTCCCATTATTTAAAATTGATTAAATATCAATATAGCTATATATGTAATATGAATGTTAAATTAAAACATCACCAGTTTAAAATATTCCATATTTTAAACAATTGCATCAATAATCAGACAAGTACAGAACACATCTNTTTTTGATTCTTTTCACTCTGGGCTGTTTGACACAGTAGAAAGGACAAGTCTATGTTAGCATGCAAAAGACCAGTGCTGAAAGCTGGTGTCCTTACCCTGAACATTAACCCTTTATTGAATGTATAACAGAAGCCTATCAATTAATGTAACTACCTAAATTTTGATTGTTTTCTTCACTTTTTAAATTTATTTTTGAATTTTCTTAATTTAAAGCAGATGAATTTTTTTTATTACAAAAAAATTTGTATATTAGTCAACAAATTTCTCTATATTTTGTACACATACATATTTTGCAGTACCCAAATATGGAGCCTTAAGATGAAAATGCTAAAACATTAATTAACTAATTGAGGGGGCTCTTCTAACAGCAGAGTCTATGCAAATGCAAAGGTCTTACTCCCATAAAGTGAATTTTGTGTGTAATTCATTTTTAATTAGTTTATGTGATCATTGAATAATTACATTTTGAACTAAAGTTATAAAAACAATAAAAATTGATGGGGAAAAAAATATTACAAAATGGAAACTTGTTTTCTTAATTTAGAAGTTTCTTGAAACTTCTTTTAGTAAATTTTAAATATCCACTATGAAATGAATACTGACTTCAATATCTTTTGAAACTTTTTATTCAATGTAATATGTAAGCATTTTGAGTTTTTAACAAAAATTCAATATCTCCTCCTCGGCTATAGTCAAATAAACAATATTAATTTAGAATGACGAAACAATCAATAAAGTAATAAGGACATTTACAATAATTCTTTGTTTAAAACATCTTCCTTATAAACTATAGTCAAAATAAACATTGGAAAAAACAATAAAATAGTATTTCAAATTTCCCATTATTTAAAATTGATTAAATATCAATATAGCTATATATGTAATATGAATGTTAAATTAAAACATCACCAGTTTAAAATATTCCATATTTTAAACAATTGCATCAATAATCAGACAAGTACAGAACACATCTTTCCATCACTTAAACAATATCAAGCCACCTTTCAGATTTTTTCCTATTTAACTAAACATCATCTGACTTTTGGTTTATTTCAGCTGTAATGTACAAGGAAGAATTATTTAAAATTACAATTTATATGATATAATTATCACAGTAATGTTATCAAATATTACTCTATTGGTTGTTTTATCATTCTAAATTAATATTGTTTACTCCACTGTAGCTGAGAAGGAGACATTGAATTTTTATTGATGAATCAAAATGCCTATGTAATACATTGTATAAACCAGTTCTAGAAGATATGATAGTCAGTATTCATTTGATACTGGATATTTGAATACTGTAGTAGTAAATAACCATTTGAGCCTGCTGGCCTCATTGTTATAATTATCAGACTTATCCTAGGATATTAGGCATTAATTAAAGAAATTGGAAAGGTGCATGATAAGTCTGATAATTATAATAATAAGGCCAGCAGGTTCATATGGTTATTTACTATTATGGTATTTAAGAAATTAACAGACTAAATGTTTATATGGATATTTGAAATCTGCTAAAGAAATTTTCAAGAAACTTCTAACAAAAAATTAAACTGTGCTGTTCCAATTAAAACATAGTTGACCCTGAGAACTGACCATAAAACCTGAAATCCAAAGAAAATGTACTAAATTCAGAATCTGTAGGTCATAAAGATATAATTGACAATCCTAGTTATCATCTCAAATTTAATTATCATTTACAGATTCAAATCTGGATAATGGCAGAATATACTAGACGAAGGACCACTTTTACTGATTTGATGTCATTAGCAGAAGCTGAAGTTCCAAGTAGACCAGAAGTTGAAGGATTTTTAGAAAATTATGAAAGAAGAAATTATCTTCAGATTATGAATGAGAAATATGAAGAATCTGGACAAGTTTGGTTTTCTTAAGAAATTATTATTAAGAAAAATGAATGAATTTTTAGTTTAACAGCAAAAGTAAAAATATATGCCCAGAGAGACCCAAAAATCAGTTAATTGTTATAAAGATTAAATTTCTGTTTTATTTGAATATTTTACTTTCAAACTTTGAAAACTAAATTGCCTTGATAACACATTAAGTGACGTTTGGACCACTTTGTATATACATTTTATAATTCAGAAAATTAAAAAAAGTTAAAATAGAAATAAACTGAAACTTTAAAATATAATTTTCTATTTTAATTTCTTTCTTGTTTAATTTTAAGATAAATTTAAAACATATAACTTTTTGCATAAATTTAATTTTTCTTAAATTTAAATAAAAATATAAAATTTTCTTTTCAATTTTAGCCAATCCACTTATTAAAATTGATAGGAATATACAAGGAAGATGCTACAGAAAAAGAAGTTGGAGGTTAATATTACATTTTTAAAATAAATTTATGTTTAACTCACTTTGAAATTCATTCAAAAATTGCAAATATATAAAATTTGTAATAAAAATAGTATTGATACAAACCTTTTCTCAAATTTTTTGATTCTTTTCACTCTGGGCTGTTTGACACAGTAGAAAGGACAAGTCTATGTTAGCATGCAAAAGACCAGTGCTGAAAGCTGGTGTCCTTATGCATGTGCCTCACCTGCTTAAGGGCATTAGCTCTCAAGACACTACGAAATTATAAGCTAAAAATATGCTTGAATAATTATTAATAATAGTGTATAATTATTAATTGAAAAAAAAATTAAGAAATGTTATCATTTCAATTGTATATCATAATTTATAAATAATTCTATATCTACAATTAAATGTTATTAGTTTTTGATGTCATAAAATTATGTACAGGTGCTTCAATCTTCTGTGTCTAGAGACTCCAAAAACAGGACCAGTTTTGGACTGCTAGTCGTATGTGTGCTACAGATATTTGGCTGCCCCTATCAATACTGATCATGAGTAAATTCATAACTTAACCCATTCCATGAGAGCCTACTGGTATGTTTTATGACAGTTCCATATATTTGAAGGGATTTAATAAATCCATAAAAATATTTAAATAATATATATTTATTTTAATTTTATTCAAATAAAGCTGGCCCAGAGATAACAGGAGCTGTTGTTCAAAGTTATATTTTAGCACCATCATAAAATAGAATTTGCAAATTAAAATGAAATTAATTTAAAGAAAGTTTACTTACTAAAAAACATAAAAACTTAGAGTTTTTGTGTTTTTTAGTAAGTAAACTTTCTTTAAATTAATCTAAGTTTTTATGTTTTTCATATGATTTAAAACAAGAAACAATTGTAATGGCTATGGAATTCCCACTGGTGAATTTTTCTCTGATTCAATGGATGAATCCTCCATCACTTGTTGCTTGTACTTTTTAAATTTTCTGATGTAAAACACCTAACATGTATGCTTTGGCATTATTTATATCCATAAACAGCACAGCTATATCATTAGTCGTCATTGTTTAATTGCTGATCACTATATTAAAATAATAATAAATTATATTTGAATTTTATTTTTTAAAGTGCACTATCAGCCACCCTAGAAATTTGGTCACCTGCGTGCATGCATGCAAAGCACATCTATTAGAACTAGCCCTGATCTTAATTCACCACTGGTAAAGAGTACAGGTTTTATGAATTTAACAGGATTTGAAGCATATCAAGCTAGCATAGATTACTTTTAAACACTCTAGAATTCTAGTAAGAAATCTCACTACACTCTAGAAATCAAGTAAGGCCAAGATTTGTGAAATGTCTTGCAAAAGCAATTCTTATGCTGAAAATGATTTCAGTCATGTCTACAATAGGACTGTGAAGGGATGGGTCCTGACTTTCTGGGACAAAGTATCCAGGAAACTGAGAATCTAACTAAATCAAATTCTTCAAAATGACTGACTCTGAAAGAATTGGTTTAGTCTGAGGCTTGTCACTTGAATGACTCAAACTAAGTCTTTAAGAATGACAGTCAAGATGGTAAAAATACCAGCATATCTGCTCATTAACAAACTGTGAATGGCCAGATAGTCAATAAATGAAAGTTTATATAGCATTACAAATTTTAAAATATTTAAACTTAAATTAATTGTAATCCACTTCTATTGCTTTATAATCTGCAATTAATATTCTTAATAATTTCAATAATAATCTATATAATTTTATACTGTTCAATTATTTTTTTCTAATTTTATTTAGAGTATATTCATGGCATTATGAAAACTATAGAGAAAGCAGAAGAAAGGCAAAATATTCCACCTTCTACTGGTTTATTATTACTTTATAAAGATGTTTGCTTGAATTGTATTGAAGTAAATATTTTAATATCAAAAAGTTTTAAAATTAATTAATTATTTCATTGAAAATATTTTTATTTATTTTGCAAAGGCCACAATAGATCAAATAAATAGTTTGATAGCAACACATGCTTTGGAGATAGCTAATGGAAGAGGATTGCTAGAAGAAGTTAAGGTGTTAATAGTTGTCCATGATGTATCCTTAAAATGAATATATTTTATATATAAATAAAATATATAAATGTAGTTTAGAAATGAAATAATAACTATTTTAAGAATTTTGTACACAATTTTATGGAAATACAACAGTTTGCAGTGGGAAAAGTATTTGTAAATACAGAAATTTTGTTTATTTATAAACTTGAGTGATTTATATGTAAAACATAAAGTCTAAACTTTCGTTTCTGAAGATACATGGTATTGTAGTGAAAAATCTCATTATAATAGAAGACAGGAACTTAAATTATTATTTATTATCATCACCTATTTTTATTGTCAGTCTTCGTTTCAAATGTCCCTGTAATAGAGATTTTTATATCTCAGTAGCTTACAAAATAATGACAAAAAATATAACTGCAACATATTTGGTGTCAAAAATTTAAACATTACCTAACAATCTTTTATAGACTGTACACTATAATGACCTTACAGGTTCTTAGTCTTTTACAGGATATTATAACATGTAAAAAACTAAAATGCTATGTATGCAGTTAAATATGACAGTAAATAAACGTTCTCTACATAAAAATATGCTATAACTTTAAATTATAACTTTTTTATTTAAAAGAAGCAATTTGTGTTGGAAAGTGCAATTGAAATATTACTTCAATGACATAAACAGGTCATAGTGTGACCTCTTAGTAGAGAATAATGGCCATCCTGAAAAGTAAGTGATGCTGAACTCATGGACTTTATGATGAACTTTGGATAAAAAGACACATTGTACACGTCTTTGGATGAGTAATTCAATTTTACCCAAACATCTTTCCAGTCTGCCATAATATCTGCATACACAAGCTTGCATATAACTGAGCTGCAATTTGACTTGTGGTACTGTATCAATTGCATTTAATTTCAAACAGTATATATTGGTCTTCCTGTTTAGGTGACAATGACCTCTTTGTAAACATCAAATACAAGTTTCAGTTTCTCAAAACATTGACCATTATCTGGAAATAACATTGAGAGAAACTCCAAATTCTATGGAGATATCAAGTACTGTTGGACTTTCTTCTAAAGCTTTCCAATGTCCTATCTTGGGTAAATCATCTAGATGTGTTTGAACTAAAAGAAAAGTGATGACTGACAGCATAAACACAGAATTAATTAAACATCTCCTAATAAGTCTACTTTATACATTTGAAAGGATATAAATCCTTTCAAATGCTATATCATAATGTACTAACTGAAAATAGAAAATTTGCTTTTGCAAAAAAGATTTTGGTGATTAAGCTGCATATTCTTCTGATTTTGTTTGTCATTGTTTTGGACACCAGTGTATTTAAATTACTTTAATGATATAAAGGAAAATAATTAACATTTTGAAGTAATTCTTTTTATAATAAGAAAATTTGTTTTGTTGAAGCTCATGTACTATACATTGAGTAACAATTTGTTTAATATTGATTTTTTTTTTGAAACCGTGTCCTGTTTTATATTTATGGCGTAGTAAACACTAAGTTAAATATATATATTGTATTTTAGTTGACTGAAGAGGGGCAAAGCCCGAAACGAGTACAAAACAATGTACCGTATCAACTAATAAAGGAATTTGATAGAAAATTTGCCATGTGTCTTTGGAATAAAACACAATACTAGTGTTTACTACGCCATAAATTTGTTTAATACTTTTGGGCACCAAGCTCATCATCAAGCGATACAAAAGTGCTTGATAGCCAAGTCACCTAAAAGTACTGAAGAAACTGTTACTTGATGTGAGTTCCAATAAATCAGATTTTTGTTACACTATTTTAAGAAAGTAGTTCCTTATTCATTTCTTTTATATGAAGAACTTTAACAATGTTGGATTTATGGCAGAAGCTGTTATCTGTGGGTCTCTCAACTTCCCCCTTTGGTGTAAGTAATCATCTTTGCACATGTCATTTTATTTGTACACCTTAAGAACACTTATAGACTTTTTTGATTCTGATGAAACCGTGTTGTTGTTATTATGCTGTTTCTTTGCAGACACACTAAGGTGACATATTTCAACACTTGGCAAATTATTCACTATTTATTCAGTTGGCCAACTGAATAAATAGTGAATAATTTGCCAAGTGTTGAAATATGTCACCTTAGTGTGTCTGCAAAGAAACAACTTATAGACTCATTCATGATGTTACTTATACACATTGAGACATTGGGCTTTATATAGAATTCATGTCATGAACAAAATTGAATTAAAAGATACAATGATTTCTTTATGTGCAAGAAATCTAATCTTCCATTATAAAAACTGGAATTCTGTCTGAAGAAAATCAGTTACAATATTTCATGAAACTTACAAAAGAAAACTCTAAATTTACAAATTTTACCACTACTTTTTATTTTTTATTTTTTTGTGATTTAATGCTATATTTAGCAGTAGATGGAATAATGTTTTCTTATAACAGTTGCAAATATAATTGTTCTTAATTTTAAAAAATTAGATACCAGAGAGACTTTCACATAAATGGCTATGGCATGAAGTTGAAGATCTTTACCAAGAAGAATCCTCATTTGATGCACGTAATAGTATATTAAATCTTTCCAAAAATGTCATTCAAGTTTGTAGACATCTTCAAGAAGCTGAATTTACTCAAGTAATAATAATAATTATATAAAATAATATAACATTCTGAGATACATTCTTTAATATATATCGTAAAAACATTTTTTTGTAAAGGATAAAGATTACTGTGGAGAGTTACTTGTTTAGAGAATAATGAAAATGATGAATAACTTTTCATAATGATTAAAAAGAGAACAGCCAGTAACATAACCAGGAAGGGTTCTAGAATTTTTACTAATGCAGGTTTATTTATTTACAAAAGGAGTCCCTTTGTAAATAAATAAATAAGGAAAAAATCAAATAAGTGCAAGAAAAGATTTGAATGTGATGAATGCACTTACACATATGTACAGTATATATATATATATCTAGGCATTTATTCTTCATTCAGATCATTAGTAGCTATATCCACAGTGATACAGGAGTAAATATAGATTAGCACATTCTAATTACGACCTCCCTAATATTGGTTCTTGGTTCTAGTTGCACTACTGACTTGGGAAAATAGCAGTTATACATAAGAAAACATTTCATCTTCATTCTACTTTTTCAGAAGCAGATCTTTACATTTTAAATTTAATTCAACAATTTGATGTAGATGTTTAAAAATTTACATCAAACAAACATTAACATTTTTGGCACTTTTAATGTTATATTTAACATATTAGAATAGAACATTCTACTCATATTAAACAGGATTTTCTATTAAATTCTGCAACAAACTGTTGAATTAAATTTAAAATGTGAATGGTAAGGAGTCATGGACTTCCTTCATTTTAAAATGGATTTTTAGTATGCTTATGCTCTGATAGTTTTACCCTTTAGAATTTTTAAAACCAGTTTTGTCTTATGTAGAAGATTTTTATTTTTTAATGTATTAAAGAATACTCAAATTAATATTTATATGAATTTCTACTTCCATATTGAAAGAAATAAACCCATCTTTTTACAAGTAATATTGAATGAATATAATTACACTATGCCAATTTTATCATATTTGGATAATACTTTGTGAACATTAATTGTATTTAAACATAAGATAAAAGATAATTCATGCGTAAATATAAATGTTTATAGTATTATCCAAAAATACCATGTAAAATAGACATTTATCTAGTGTGTTTGCTACAATTACTATTAAGAAAAAGAGAAACTGGGCTTTTCCACCTCAAAATAAGTTTTAGAGAAAGATTTGATATGAAATTATTTTTTGACTCCAAAATGAGGAAGAATTTATTTTTCAATTTCAAATACTACATAATTTTTTATAAGTTATTTTTATTTCATAATTGATGAGTTATAGGTCTGTATTTTATTTAAATTCATGTTAAATAATGAATGTAATAGTCAATATACCCAATATATAAATTATTTTTAAAATATTCTTAGTTTTCAAAGTTTAATCTACTTAGTTGTGTGAAGCAAAGTTTAGAATAATGCTCTGTGAAATACTTGGTAGCAAAGTTTTATGTATTTGTGAAAAATGTTTTTATTAAACATGTACGTATCACAAAAAATCCAACGATGAGTTCCTTAACATTCCCGGCAACATTTAGTGATGCTAGTTGTTATATTTTATTAGAAACATTTTTATATTTTTAACTATTATAAAATGGTAAAAAGTGTAATTTTGAGGGTAAGGTTAAGTTTTATAAAAAAAAAATTACAATGCTAATAACAAGTAAAATCATCATTAAGTCTGGCCCTACTGGAGATACACACGACCCCCTTTATCTCTCTATCCCTCTCGACTTTAATTACCAAAATTTAATAGCATAGCATGAATCTCTTAATAAACAAACCTCCCTGCAAAATTTCAGAAATTTTTGACAAAAAGCATGGGCATTATTAAGTTTTAAAGAGGGTGAACAGAATCCACACACACACTAACATCCATACATACAGAAAAAAACCCCTGAATTTTTTTTTTCTTTTTTTTTTGCATTTCTTGGCATTTCAAGGTGTCCTGAGTCCAAAAATGTAAAACTCTTGGGGGATCATTTTTTGACCAATTGCCATACGTTTCCTCTCATATATAACAGTCAGGAAAGTAAAAAATGAAAATTTTTATAACCATTTACATTTGATGGCTAGATGGCTACATAAATGCTAAAGTGTAAGTCTGCTACTATGACAGAATTAGTTCAATTTCAGCTTAGATCCTCAGGAATTTTTTATAGCTGAAGTGACTATAGTATAGATTATGTCAGACTCAGGGCTGGCTCAATGAGCAAGGTAACAAGGTGACTGTCTCAAGCAGCAACATGAGAGGGGTGGCAAAATGAATGGTCAAAAATGTTTAGTAATACACATAAGAAATATACTGTAATGACACTTTCAGCATTATACTTCACAGTACTCTTAAATTGTTATTCTCTGGTTGAAAACTATTGGACTAACTCATTGTGGGATGAACCATTTGAATAGAAAAGAGTTAGCTGATCAATATTATAACAATAACTATTTAAAAACTCTTACTGTAACTGAGTTAATCTTTTTTAAATGGATTAGTGACATGATGCCACAATATTAATTCTCTGCTGGAATTAACAACTGAATGAATGTTAGCCTAAATCAAGATGCATTCAGTATGAACACTATCTTGACCTATATTATTATTATTATTTTTATTATTCCTTGTTAACTTAACCTGGATAATATATATATATATATATACACACACACACATACATACATACATACATATTATAAAAATGAGTGAAAGTCATAATATTTGTACATACCATACTTCTTATCAAAATAACTATAAAATATGTGGAGAAAACTTTAAGGAGCTATGATTTAATGTTATGTTTGTGTCATTACCTTGATTCATATAATCATAAAATAGATGTTTTTTTAATAAAATTATAAGTGGTATTGATTTTTATTCTTTAATTTTAAAACAATTTGATTACACAAATTATTCAAATTGAATCTGAATTCTTTCCTTTTTGTATTTACAGTCAAATCTTCAAATGTATTTTGGAATTAAAACAGAATTAAATTATATGAAAAGTAAGTTGAACATAATAATAATACTTATTTAATAAAATTAAAGATATTAAATTGTTATATTAGAAAAGAATTTAAATTTATCATAGTATTTATCATGTCAAGATTTCATTCTCATTTTTTCATTGGTTGCAGATTTGTTAAGACCAAAGCATAATGCTCTTACACAACAAATTCAAAGTTTTTATTCAAAATATGTTTTTTTAAATATTTCAAATTTATGTACTTTGTTATTTAATGTAAGTTTTAACACTTCACATTTAATTATGAATAGTAGCACATAACACATAGGACCTGTTCAGAATTGTTTACCAATTGGTAACAGGGAGTACCATGATGGTTACCAATTGATAACCATCGTGGTAGTTGGTTGATTACTCTCTAATTCATCCTTGTAGATTTTTAAGTCTGATAGCAACCAGTTGAATTAAACACCAGAAACTTTATAGGTAACATTTTTGAATGATCTCCAGTCTCAGGTTGAACTAATAAGCACTTCTGAACAGACCAATAGTCGAAGGAGTAAAGAGGACTTATGCTCCTTAACCGAACATAAACAAAATGTAACAAACAAAAATATTATATATATTTGCACAAGTCTTTTTATATTTATCTACCAGATGTACCAAATTATGCACAAACCTATTCTTGATACTCTGCTTTCAATGATCATTATATTAATACTTTAACAACAAAAATATACTTTTTGGCTGTCCCAAAAGTATAGACAATAAAACAGAATTGAAACATTTGAACATAAGAAACTTAAAATTACAAAAATAAAAATAAACGACATCAAATAACACTTTTACTTTGTTGTCAAGTAGTAATTTAAATATTGAATCAAACTTTCCAAAATTCCACATAGAAGAGAGTTTAGAATGGAAGAAATTACATAAATATGGAAATTAAAAGCAGAAGGCTGTAGTGTCAAGGAAATTGCTGTTTTAATGAATAGATCTACACCTGGAATTTAAAAAATTTTGGAAAAATCATCAGCAAAACTTTCTAAACATCAATCAGGAAGGCCCAAAATCATATCTCAAAGGGATTATAATTTAATTGTGCATCTTGCATCACAATAGGATAAATCAGTTCATCACATTTTGTGTGAAAGTGGATAAAAAATATCAAAAAGCACTTTTTATCAAAGAATTTCAGCAGTTCCACATATGAAATTTGATGCTTTGATGAAAAAAACCATCACTAACAAAACAACACAAATTGGCAAGAAAGCAGTGGACTAAAGATCACATACTGTGGAATTATCAATGGCTCTCAGTCCTTTTTAGAGATGAAAAGAAATTTAATTTGGATGGCCTAATTACTGGCATGATATTAGGAAAAAAGAGTGCAGCTTTTCAGCAGGAAACAGTGTGGTGGTATGGTGTGGGGCTATTTTGGATTTAATGGTTTATCAAATTAGTTATTTTAACTGGTAAACAGACATGTAAAAGTTATCAAAAAGTCTAAAAAATACTTTATTACTTATTGGAGAAGAAATTGGAGGACCTGATTGGATTTTCTAACAGGATAATGCCAGTATTCCTTGTTCACTCTCAACAACTAAGTGGTTCAAAGATTCAAGTTATGAAGTGGCTGGCAAAAAGACTGGACATTAATCTGATTGAGAACTTGTGGGTCATTCTTGCTGAAAAAATTTATGGTAATAACAGGCATATTACGACAGTTTCAGAGCTTAAACAAGAAATTATTAAGTGCTGGTTTCAAATAGATTCAGAGATCTTACAAAAATTAATTAAATCAATTTTAATAATTTAAATAATTGCATTTTTGAAGTCATTTAGCATAATGGTAGTTCTATTTCATATTAAAGCAATATTCATTAATTTATATTATGAACTATTGCTCAAAGTTTAAACTTATCTATATTTTTGGGACACACTATATTTATAATATTGTTTGAACTGAAAAATTCAATTAATAATTAATAAGTTTTATCTTTAAATTAATTACCGATGATAATTATTTTAAGAACGTTTATATAATACATTAAAATTTGTATTTTAGATAATATAATGAAATTATATAATATTAAATATTTACTGACTGTAAAAGAATATATGTTTAAGTATTTTGGTCCACAATTTTATTTGAGCCATGATGGTAAGCATGAAATTTTATAAATCTATATAAATCTTGAATTCTTAAAATCTTGAATCATGAAATTTTATAAAACTATATAATTATTTAAATTTAATGTTTAATTTTTTAATTTATTCACACAGCTACAGTGGCAGATTAGTATAGTCAGGGGCCCCTGGCAGAACAAAATTGGGATCCCTAATGTTAAATAGTAACAAATCATTTCTATAATTCGTCATAGTTTTAGACAAAATAAAAATTTTCTTAAAGCATTTGACTTTATTCTTAAGCAATAGAGCATGTAAAATTATGAAAATATTACATGTATTTTTGTTTATTGTCGTCATTGTTGTTGATACTCAGATGGGACTTGAGCTACTAGGCCTCAGTGACTCAGTTGTGAATACTTGGATAGAGTATCATCTAATGGTAATAATACTTAGTATATGCTTGAAAGTACTGAGATAATATCTTTGTATATAATTGTAATGATTGTAATTTGTAGGCAGTCACTTAATTTCTTGATGTTGTTTGTCTGGCTGCTTTCCTGTAAAAGTTTCTGATGGATGTTGTGGAAAATCATGCAGTCATGAATGCTATGTAAGGAACTGTCTGTTTTCTTGGACAGTACTTACATCTATTAAATTGTTAGTTTGTGGCAGTATAGAAATTGGTTGGTTAGAAAGGTTTCTGTCTGAGCTCTGTTTATAAATATGGTATTTAGGTGGTCTAGATTATTGAAGCTGTAAATGTTGTGTTGGTTCAACCAAAGGAAATCATATTTATAATATTGCTTCCACTGCTCATCCATCATCTGCTTGTTCTCTGTTTTGATAACTTTTATGGATCTTCTGGGGAGATGATATGGAAATATTGCATGCATTAGATGTTTTAATGTATAATGTCTTCACCAATAATAAAATATATTGATCTTATGGCATAAACAAAACTCGCTTCATCCCATTGTGGGTGGTAATTTTCATCTAAGGATGGTCAATACTGTTATCTTTGGTATTTCACATCTTTTTGTGTTCTATTAATATAATACACTTATTCAAATTTCTTTTAGTTGCTCTAACATAAAGTATTGCTTTTTTGTTTTTCAAATAGTGTTCTATATATGCCCAATTTCTCTCTAGATTTCCATTTGTCTCTATCATTATAACATAATTTATGTAGAGTGTGCAAAGATAATACTGGAATTTGAAAAGGAAGGTTCTTATACAGTTTTGACAACTTATACATACTGTTACCTGTAAAAGTCATTGGGATAAGTGAAAAGCACAACTTTCTTCTGGTACTAAGGTGGTGGATGGAAACAACTTTTGCTTAATTCTGCAGTGTAAATAATAAAATTTTTCAGCTGCAGAGTTTTATTAATTACATTTTTAATTTGCATTTTGTTTTTATATCTGGAAAATTTATGTATTGCTGAGGAACTTTACATATGTTTCTTTTTGAATGAATTAATTTAATAACATAAAACAACAAAAACTCTTTAAGAAGCAGTTTTTTTATTTAAACTTCTAACGTTTTCGGCCTACTTTATTGACCTTCTTCAGGAAAAATTGAATATTACAATTTATAATGAATGAAATGTAAATATAAATAAATCTTTTATAAATAAAAAGAGTGCATCTTAAAGGGTTTTTGTTATTTTATGTTATTTGATTTAAGTGCAAGCAGAGGAGACTGAATTAATTTATTTTACTATAAACGTTGCAGTGGAACCAATGTGCCATATGCATATTCTTTTACAATACTGGAAAGGTCTTGTATATTTTGTATATTTTTCTTTAGGAAACTAGGATGGTAGTATTTTGTCTGGTAGGATTCTGTGATGACATTGGGTTTGAGATATGTTTCTGTAATATATTATTTGAAAACTACAGTAGAGCATCGATTATCCGACCTCCCGATTAACCATCACATCGGTTAACCGACTGTTCTAGTCGGCAAATTTCAAATGTCCACTAGTGATGTGGCATTACAATATCTGGCTATATCTTGGCTACTTTAATATTATTTTTGTTAAATTTTTGCGTGTTTTAGCTGGCATCAACGGCTCAACCATTGAAGGGAAGCCAATATTTAAACGAGACTTAATTTTTTAATTATGAGTGGTTGTTTCGTGAGCAATAAAATAATTTAAAAATAATTTTTAACGATACAAATAGCGACAATTATTATTTAAAAAAAAAATTTGTTAGGCTAAACATCAATGAAAATTCAACGCGAAGTTGGTTAATAGCGATATACTAATAAACTAATTACATGGATATACTAATATCCTAATATACTATACTAATAATGTATCTTTTCCCTTCTTTTCGGTTATCTGATTTTTCAGTTATCCGACCAACCTGAGTCCCCAATTGAGTCGGATAATCGATGCTCTATGTATATTAATAATTTGAACACACTTCTATAACATTAATATAAATTTTGTTTTGAAAATTTGGAATAAATAAAAACAAATCTTTTTGATGCTTTAATAAAAAATTATTAAAGCAGAGAAATTACTGGATTTGATATGGAGTGAGTTTCTAAACTTTTTTCAGATGTTTTTAGAAAATTCAAGCCTTTTCAGAGTATATGCTTATTATCAGGATTAAACAAAAATCTAGAGATGCTTGATCTTTGTTTTTCATCTTGACTCATGATGGATGTAGAACCTGAAAATGCTTGAATTTTCTAAAATTTTTGTTTAAAAAAAAAGTAGATTGAATTGGATTTATATTTGAGGAACTTTCCTAATTAGTGTCTTGCCAGATCCATTATCATTCACATGATGTCACAAGATCTTGCAAGAATGAGGGCAAAACGAAGAATTCATTTTAATTTCAGAAATTAAAAATCATATTTGGAATCAAATTAATTAATTTGTTAATTTTAATTAATATGGATTTTAGTAGAATAATTTATTTTATGTTTATTGCTATTTTCAGATATTGTTTGGCCAATTCCTACCAAAGACAAATTATTGTGAAAAATGTTTATTTTCAGATAAAATATTCATCTTTTAGTTGAAATTATTTTATATTATTTACTTATTTATTCAATATTTACTTAATATTTTAATTCATAATTGCATATTACATAATTAAAATATGAATATATAAATAGAATTAAAAATGTATATACTGAATATTTGAATACACACACATATATATATGTATATTTATACACTTTTACTCTGTAAATATTTTTTGAAATTCATTAAAATTTTCTGTACATACCACAGTCAAATTTAAATCAAATTAATAAAAACCACATTAACATTCACTTAATATAAATGGCTTTTAAGAATTCCTGTTTACATATGCTTACGTTAAATGACAACGGTTTATTAACACTAAGTAGCCAGTTAGTTAAAACTAAAAATAATTAAAACTTGCCTTTTCATTGAAAATAAATTAATTTTAATTAAAATCAAATCAATTGAAACATAATATTTCAAAACGTGTGGAAAAAGTACTTGTTGTCTGTCTTGATTGATTTGGTTATCCTGTGTATTTCATCCAGGCAGAGTTGCATCTGTATTTACATCACTTCTTTGTAAAGTGTTGGTTTCAGTTTCGGTTGGCGGTGATGGAACATTTGGCTTTTAATATATATATATATATATATATACTCACAGATAGATGATAATATATATGTTACCGCTAAAGCTCGAAAGTCGGTAATGTGTACATTACCTAGCTAATATACAGATTAACTAAGGTGATCCGTTAAAGTTGTGAAAATTGTTCCATTTCTCAAATTACCTATTAGACACTCGGTAAAGTGAAAATAAGATCTTTGCCACAAATAAATGTACCACAAATAGGTGTACTTGTCGCAAAAACCAATTGCTATGAAATTAAAAGTGTCACCAATCTTTAGACTGCACTAATAAGTAAGCGCAATTGGTTAATGTTACCTATGGTGAGTAAAATGGCGGCTCGTCTCTGATTCCAGCAAATAGAAGAAAGGAAACAGTGGGGACGCACGTTCTAACCTAACCTAACCTATTCTAATAAATTACCATAATTATTACCAATCAAATTACTGTATTAAAATAGGTTAGGTTAGGTTAGAACGTGCGTCCCCACTGTTTCCTTTCTTTTCTTGCTGGAATCGGAGACGAGCCGCTATTTTACTCACCATAGGTAACATTAACTGCACAATTATATCATGCGATCACCAGAAAAAGTATGATAACTTTATTATTTTTATCTCTGGTCCAAAAGTAGGGTATCGTCGAAGTTGTCTCGGTCCCCTCAGTTCAGATAGATACTACGTCCCGAAATTACATAGGTGGTTATCTATATCAGTGTTTGTCATCCTGTGGGTCGCGACCCCCAGGGGAGTCGCGGGTAAAAGAAAAAGACAAGTGTTTGTAGGTCCTACACTACAATAAATAAAACTACAATTTCAGTGAGAAGGCTTTGCGTTTTTATTTTAAAGTACAATTGGTTTTTCGATCGATATTTAGGTTTCAACAGAAAGAATATTAAATACGTAGTTTTTAAAATCACTGATATAGTTTTAATATGACCCTGGGGGGGTCGCCAGAATTTTTTTAACTTTTAAAAGGGTCGTGTATTCAAGAAGGTTGAAAAACACTGATCTATATAATAATTTCCCTAATTGTATTAATGTTTTAAACCGTTTGATTTTTTTGTATGTTTTTTAATTGGTTGATGATTGATTCTATCAAGTAATTTGTTGATTTTTTGATTGTATTAACTTAATTCTTTTGATATCGAAAATTAAATAAAGAACATTATGTTAATTTAAACGTACAGAAACGTTGCTGTTGTTCCAGCAAAGATGTTATTTTCACTTTACCGAGTGCCTAGTAGGTAATTTGCAGATTACCTAGACAATCTGCACTTTACCTAGGTAATTTGAGAAATAGAACAATTTTAGGAACTTTAACGGATTACCCTAGTTAACCTGCAGATTAGCTAGGTAATGTACACATTAACGACTTTCGAGCTTTAACGGTAACATATATAATAATATATTGCATTTGGCATGTTTAATGCATGAAATACAGCTAAAATCATTTTGTTTTGGGGGTCGGAAACAGAATAATCCATTTTATATTGTTTCTTATGGAAAAATTTGTTTTGGTTATAGAACAACTTTTAGAAACGAATTAAGTTCGAAACCTGAAGTTTGACTGTATTTTGTTATAGATATGCAATAAAATATAACATAGAAAATGCAAATGCATTTATTCATTAATCATATATAATATCAAGCAATTTAACAGTTTTAAACAGAGAATATAGTGTTGTCAACAGTGGCTACTTGGCACCAAAACAGACAAGGGAAGTGTGCGCCTTGAGTGCGACCTAACACGTGTCAATTAAAGTTCCATGGGTAAATGGAGTGTATCGTTTACATATGTCACAAAAATGAGTTTTTGTAGGAAATTGTGTCTCTGTTAATGAGTATTTTTCTCAAATATAGTGCAACAGCGAGTCAAACATCAATCGTTGATATTATGTATTTCTGTGCTTTGGCATCTTTCATTGCCCAAACCGCCATTTCTTTAAATGTCTTAGTCAAAGGTCAAATGACTTATACCAGCTGCCTTCAAAAATATTATTTGGAATTTCCATACTCTAAACCTCCATATCTCAATTTTTGAATATAGTACTTGTCAGATGTCTTCGGTAGCCATTTTGTTCCGTACGGATGCATTCAAATAATTGTATTGGGGAAACGATAATTCTCAAGGTTTATTAATTAAATTAACAATTATAATTTTCAACTTCAATCTATACAGACATCCTTTTATATTAATATTTTGGTTTTACTGGCGTATATAGACCCGTAATAAGGAAAAAGTGTTTTAAACTTCTTTTATTTTTATAGAGATTTTTTTGGTTTATTTAAATTACGTAGTGAATTGCAATATCTATATTCATATTTACCGGACGGCAAAATTTTACAATAAATAATAATAATATCTTGTAAAAATTTGAAACATCCTAATCTATACTTGCATCGCGCCTATGATAGTGCTATCGTCCGGACAGTCCGGGAATCGGCTCGCCGTGGGGATGAACTAGTAAGTTGCTCATCCCAGGAAATCCTGCGAAACCTGTTATTTATTTTTTTTTTTTTTTT